TCGCCGTCGTCGCAAAATTCTGACGGATACCGTCTTATGAATATCGATAAGAGATTCGTAGAGTTTTCAGTGAACATCGACGATGTCAGTTTCGGTTGATTAAACGTTTCGAAGGAAAAAAAACAAATCGTGTAAATATGAAACCACTGATAAATGTCTTGAAAAAGCAAGATAGTTTGACAAGAATGTTCCACGATAAAAGAAACTTTCAATTAATATGCACCGCGAAAGTTTTCGTACTTCTGGCCACTCGCGCATTCACTTGGTCCAGAAAAGCATCCTTCCGCGCGCCGTACCGACGATAATCCGAGCAGATCCGAACACCGCTACCCGTCACCCTGCGTCACCCGTCAACAGTCGCCCGTAACCCTCGTCACTAGGAGGCGGCAGCACCGGCTCATACTACACTCTGACTTATGGATGATCGGACCTCTTTCGCGCAGCTCAACCGATATCAAAAAGCTTCCCACCCGCATGTTGTTGTACCAATGTCCCATATACAGGGTGGACAATATTATAGTAAGAAGAGGAGGTAATATAAGAAAGGCACGACCAAGTGCCCTCCTCTCACTGACAGCTATGTGGTCCCTACTACCAAGTGATCTACACCCCACCATCATTTAATTCGTACCCCTATAGATCAGTCTATAAGCCGCTACTCTTTGCGCATTGTGTAGTTCGTACATTTAAAAAGTTGAAAGTTTGAAAATTTGTAAAGTTGAAAATTTAAACATTTAAGAACTTGTGGATTTGGAAACTAAAAGGTTTGGGAAATTAAGAATTTCAGGGATCACCATTTAGTTGTACCTTGACTTAGGAAGTGAACAAAATAAAAAATCATCAGGTACATGTACGCTCAGCGTCACACTGATCATAAGTGCGTTTGCGCGTTACTCTTGGTTACAGATCTTGATAGAACCAATCAGAACCTACATGCGCAGAAGAAATAAAAACATGTCATTGAAGAGGGTCGATTATCCATGAAATAAAGTGTAGAAAACATTACACGTGCGCCTATCGCGCTCAAATTGATTTTAACGCGAACCGTGATATTCAATAAAGCCGCTACTTAAAGCTTTCATAGCGTTATTCTAATCGCATGATTATATATATTGAATGTCTTTTTGATTTAATCAATCAACTGCATTAATTATTCACTTATTAGATTTCCGACGCCACAAATAGTTCATTAATACTTGTCCAAACATAATTCAAAGATTTCATCAAAACTTGATACTATCTAATTCTGGTTTTACCTAAAAATAGATATATGCCCTCCACGCATAAAAAAATTAATCAACTGCATCGAGTTCATTAAATCGATCCAATCTTATCCTGCGGCCAATAAGCTCGAATCAATTTAATTTAACGCTCGGTGACTAAACAAGCCGTTAAGTACTTTATTACGCTCTTAATAATACCGTGATATTTAAAACATCAATTAGAAAATAAATTTAAAAGGATTTAATCTTCTTTTTATATAATACTTAAGCAATATTGTATTATCCTTATCAATAATTGTTATAAGATTCTTTTTAATTACAATTCCTGTTTTATCTATATGTCTGTCAACTACAAAGTCGCAATTTTCCTTTTTTATCGCGTGTAATCCTTAGAATTAAATTAACAACAGTTTCTACAATTTTATGGAAGCCTTATATACAAAGGATTTTAGTCCTTGAAGGTACCTTAAATTATGATTGAAAATAGTTACTTCTTTTATGCATTCTAACAAAATTTCATTTGGCATAATTAACAAAAAAATAAATAATATTAATACATGATTAAAGTAAAAGACAAAATTGTATAAAAGTTTAAATATTAGCGCTATTATTATTCTGTATGTAACATTTCATCTTCATTCCTGTTGATTGGGTCTCCTTTTAGTAATGCAATAATCATGCTGAAAAATGGAAAGTAATACATAGTAGTAATTAGGTACTCAATTTTAACTACAATAATATATAACTATGATATACATACCAATAAAGATAAATAAAAAAGAAAATAAGATAATATCCAAGATAGATCATACAATCTCTCGTATGCCTTTTCAACTGGCCACGATTATGAATCTCTGTGGGATCATACACGCCCATATTACCACTTGGTACGCCAAAATATTCATAGAGCAGCCATAGTGTCATTGGTAGATTTACCAAGCACAATATTAATTGCCCATGCGTTAATAACAGAAACTCTAAAAATGAATGTGCTACTAGCTTTGGTACAACCCACTGCAAAATTATATGATTTAAAGTTTATTCATTATATCCTATTTACACGTTAAAACAAAGAGACAATGACAGAACCAAGAATAATTACCGTATTTAGCTTTGAACAACACTGTTGTGCATTTAAATAGTCACATTCTAAATCCGACAAAGTTATGACCTATATAATTCAGCTAAGGAATATGATTTCATATTTATGTTATTAATAAAAGAAATTTTGCACTTAAATAAAGCGCAATTACAAGTGCTCCAACATTATAACAACAATTATATCATTGAAATCCCTAGACATGTTGTTCGCTAAAATACCTGTAGATTTCAACAATTACTCGATTAAATTAGGCGAACAATAAAAAATACGATCGATTATCGTTCAATTTGATTTAGAAAACATAAAAAGGATACAAAATACACCAAAAGAAAAAGTACTGAACCGGTATCGATTAAAGCTAATACAAACAAGAGCGGTTCGGATATTAAACCCATTTTAATGATCTATTGCTATATATTGACGTTCAATCGCATTAGGAACGTATCTAATAATCATATGGTATTTTCCTGGTAGGCCAATTCACTGCAAATGTTTTCCACGCAGAAATTTTAATAAACCTAAGACAAAACTGAAGTGACCGATTGTCAAAATCAACAAAATGAACAACTCACAATGCTGCCAACTATTCGCATTTTTCAGTAAAATAACTGTTACGAATTCGATATGAAAATCCCTAATTCTGGACAAAAATAGAATCCTACTGAAGTTAGCCACGTTATGCGAATTAATATGATTTTGTATGGAATAAACAATACGCATATTTTAAGCGACCAAAGTGATCGATATTAAATCGTCCGATTAAATGTCATGAAAACGAATGTTTGCAAGATGTTTATTGAATAAATGAAACCACATATTTCATATATAAATATAAGTAAATTATATATATGTCTTTTCAGAGATAGCATATAATAAAAGGTAAAAATGTACAAACAATTATGTTTACATCTGTACGTACATTTTCAATTTATACATATAAATCTGAAATAAAATTATAATTACAGAAATGTTTCGGGAAACTTCAAAAATTATAATAGAAGATGGATCTTCTCCATCCGCCTCTTACGTTATATACATCAGAATGGAAGATCTATTAGAAAAATTGAAACTATTAAATTATGACATAGAATTTTTATCAGAATTTAAAATAAAGGCCATAAATAGGTAGCAATAATAGTTATATATTGAATAATATATTAGTGTATTATAAAAGACTTTATTAATATGTTTATTTAACATATAGGAACTACTTTGCAATACAAACAAATCCAGGAGAACAATTTTATACATTTACGTCTTTAGCTGCATGGTTAATCAGAAAAAGTGGCAAGAACTTTGAACCTCCACAAGAGTCAGATGACCCTAATGCTACTATAGCTTTGATACTGGATCATTTAAGGGATATTAATGTACCAGTAGAATTTCCACCTAATAAACTGAAACAAGGCAGTGGGGAACATGCTATTTATGTATTAGATAATTTGGCTGATCATGCATTAAAGATACAGAAATTTCAATGGAAGAAGTAAATTTTTTAAATGTGCATAACAAAAATATTAGTATCATATTCTAATAAGCGAATTAACACTTCTAGAGTGGATATACCTCCTGATGAACCAAGTAATGAACCAGATGTTGAAGATGATGACGCAGAATTAATTTTAGAAAAAGTAGAAGAAGAAATGATGGCTGAGTATGACGACGAAGACGAAGATATTTTACATATAGATGATATTACAAAATTATATGGACAAAACTTTGTGAGTATACTCACGTATTCATTTAAAATACATAGAAACCATAGATATAAATATTTTATTATATTTTCTAGAATGACACACAAAAACCAGATGATATTTTAGAGTCTAAAACAAATAGGGAAGAATGGCAATTAGAATTAGAAAGAGTTTTACCCCAACTGAAAGTAACTGTTAAGACAGGTATTAAACTTTTAATAAGTGCTTAAAAAGTAAATGATTAAGAAAGTTATTTCATTCAGATTCAAGGGATTGGAGATCACATATAGAACAAATGAAACAGTTCCATACAAATATCGCAACAAATCTGACTGGAACCAAAAGTCAATTAGACAAATTACGTACCGATGTAACAAGCGCTTTGGACAAAGTAAAAGCAAGAGAATCATATCTGAACCGACAACTTGAACCTGTTTTAAAAGAATATCAAACGCTTCAAGATGAACTCTCAAAAATAAAAGAACAATACCGAGATGTTAGCGGAGGTGTAACAGAGAGAACAAGAATATTTAATAAATTATCAGAGGAATTGGAACATATAAAAAAGGAAATGGATGAGAGAGGATCAAGCATGACTGATGGAAGTAAGTATATTATGTTGATCCTGTAATACATAAACAATACATGAACTGTTTTTTGTAGCACCACTTATAAACATAAAAAAGACAATTACCAAAATGAAAAATGAAATTTCCGAAATGAATGTTCGGATCGGCGTATTAGAATACAGTTTAATGTGTGCGAGAATACGAGATCGTACACAGTTGCAAGAAGATATGAATAACACAAATGGTATTGTAATAATTTGAATTATCAAATAGCACTTTGTTACGTAACTTCAGTCTATCTTGTTGTCCGTGTAACAAATTTAATAAGTTACATTAGTTTCACGAATCGTACCGACAGTTCATTTTTGCTAAATATGTTTCTTGCGCACAGTTATTCCCCTAGCGATACAAGGGTCCAATAAAGTTCCGTCCAGAATTATTTTTATAAACTTTCTACGTGTCAACGAATATTCAACTTGCAGGAATTAATTGTTCGATCACGTTTTCACCGATTGTAATTACAACAAATAAATTATTGCAGTAATAAGAAATACTTTTTTAATACTTTATCACTTTCATTATAACTTTTGAAGTGGATTTATTGATACAAGTGATACAATTGAATGAATCACTTGAATTCAATGTTTCCTTTGCCTCGAATGGAGTGAACGAATGATCGAATGTACGAGAATTATTTGAAGAAATTTAATTTGTAATTTAGGAATTTGGAAATGTGAAAGTACAGAATTTTGGGAATTTTCACAATTGGTAACTTGAAGATTTAAAAAGAATTTTGGAATTTATATATTTTTCCTCTTGGCGATTTGGGGGTTCACAAATTTATAAATCCGAAGATTCAGGAACTTAGAAATTTGTAAGACCGCTGCGGCCCCTGTGGTTCGAAAAAGGGTTAATCCGTCGATCCCTACTTCAAGAGTTTCTCGATCGGCTTTGCATCAGCACACAGCGAACTGGCTAGCTTAAAGTTTGCGCAGACCAGTCGCGTGTAATCACTGATGTTCGCGTTACCATTGAACGTGACACTGTCTCGCTGTGTACAATAACTAGACAATCTATGACCAGTAACGTGTGTCAAGAGTAAACAGTCTCGCAGAACCCCTTAATAAGACTAATCGGCAAACAGGTAGGTAATCAATTCAATATAATTATATTTCTACGCGGCAATTTGAGATAAGTTATTAATAGTAGAATTACTAATTGTACGCGTCTTCTTAATGTTTTACTTCTTTTGTTTTTCGTACTGCAAATTGAGTGACATAAATAGAAGCATTTTTAAAAGCGCATTTCTGTGGAAGATTAAAACATTATCAAAGGGTCACTGACTCTTTTTATCTTCTTGATAGGATACACTTTCTTTCTGGTTTGAAAGATCTCCTCATGCGTTTAAAACACGTACCAATGTTTTCTCAACTTTCACCCATATTTCAACGCATACTTTTAAAGAGACTCGCTTAGTTTCAATACATTCGAAAACGTATTACTGTAACTTGCGTACAAAATATTTTATCGTTTCTAAAATAATCGTTAATCGTTAATTATTTGCATATTTTTAATTATTGAATAAAGTAACAATTAGACGAGACTTTTGTTAGTTTTTCCCGCGTTCGTTTTAAGCTCCTTATTACAAAAGTTATATGACTGGAACGAAAATGATACAGATTTAATCAAAAGTAGATGATGCATCGAGACTCAATTTGTCATCACAATTATGAACTTTTTTTCATGCGCGATTAATCAGAATAGGATGCACACAGAAACGATGAAATCATCGGTTTCTGGTTTCTCATGTAATCTGCTGTCAATTATGCGACGCGCTGGAGCGCCTTACGTTTTTTTAAAAATAGATCGATTAATTTACTTTCGAATTCTTGGATGTACTTGAAATATATATACAGTCGGTCTAAATGTGAGATTATTAATGTAACCCATAGATTTTTTGGTATCAATAATAATTAAAAGAAAGTCAATGAAAGTCTATGATAAAGTTTGTCTAGATTTCGTATGTATACAGAAAATAAATTTCGAATAATTCCAGGAAAAAATTGCTTTATGATTCACAATTATCCTGAAATATGCTTTATTGCGTGAAAAGTAAAAGAAGTATGCAATTTGAAAGGCAGAAAAGTTTTCAGTCCTTTATAATTAAATATATTTAAACGTAACTGCTATACAATTTGATTATTCGGAATGCATACTTTTGAACAGTCCAAACAGAACAATCAGATGTTGAACAATCAGAAAATGATGGATATGTTAATAGATTATCTGCATTTTGCAATTGATTAATTTTGAATGTTGGATGATCTTGAACTTTGTTCCGCGAATGATAAGAACCATTATTGCAGCTACAGAATAATCTCTTATTCTGTTTTTCTTTTTTCAATTTAATATCATTCTTCTTAGAAATATTTATGCAATTTACTATCATTTATATAATTTACTGTTGTTTGCATAATCTGCTATAACAATCTAGAAAGGCGAACTAATTAAATCGTTGTCAAAGATTTGTAAATGAGCTATCATTCATACTTTACTCGTCCAAGCATCTATAAACTTGATATGTAAATTAAACTTTGCCTAAAACAATGTATGTTATGCTTTAGCATAATATATATTAGATAAGCGATTAAAGTTCGCTAATAGTAATACAATGAAAGGTAGCATCAGTACTACTGCTGAGAAAACGGGGCATCCCCCCGTGGGTTAGTACTTAACGCGGCAATATAACGAGAGCCTGCCGTGTAAATCAGAAGTTTTTTATTAATATGATCATGAGATCTGTTATCGTCGAAAATAATATCAATATTTTATTTTCAACGGGAATGATTGATAATTAAGATATGAGATGTTACGATCAGTAGAAAATAATTAATTTGAAAAATATAAACCATCTTATCAGATCATATAATTTAACATCATAAGCGTGTAATACGATAAAAAGAATTAAGATGAATTTTTAAATATTCGCGCCTATCTGCAATGTATCACGCGCAGATGTTTCACGTTTCATTATTTGTCAATGAAACATATTTTCATGCTATGTCATATGTTTATTTAAGCAAATGTTAGCGATTAATTGCAAATTTGGAAAGGTCGTAGTTCATGATGTTTTTCATCGAAGTCTCAACGTTTTCGGTTTCTGATATTTGTATCTGGTATTAAACCGTGATCATTCGAAAGATAAATGTCACATGTTTTGGATTTTTTGTATATTTGCGATGCGCTTGATTAGATTTGGAATAACATAATTGTGTAGCGATCTGTGTAAGGAGAGAAAGAAACATGAACTATATGCACATATTTTATTGGGCAGAACTTGTAATTTTACCGCTGCTAATGAATATTTCATATCTAAGATGACTCATGCCACTGTTATTATAAAATGTATTTAAAACGACATTTAACATTAAGTTGAAAAAAGCATGATGCGCATAGTTATAAAAATTGTCTTTGCTATGTGACTAATGTACTATCACTATGACTGAAGAACAAAAAGTGTAATAATATTTCAGTTTCATCCATGGGAAACATCTGAAAATTATTATTATAAGTATGAATATAAAGAACATATAAAGAACTAAATAATTAAATTTATATTCACATATGTTATAATTAAACTTGTTATAAGTATTGTAATTCAATCACAATTAAAATAATCATATTTTATTTGTTGCAGCTTTAAAACATTAATAAGAATAATGAAGATTTGGACAAAGCTTATCATAATTTTTATCATAGGTATAGTAATAACAGCTATTGGTCTAACAGGAGGATTACTATGGTCCTCAGTTTATTCGTCAGTTTTATTCAAGGTAAATATAAAAATAATATTTGAAAAAGTATAAAATTATTATATACATTTTATCTTTATTAGGAATTGTCATTAACACCAGAGTCCACAAATTATAAACTCTGGACTAAGACACCAATTCCTATGTATTTAAAAATATACATGTTCAATTTGACTAATGCAGAAAACTTTGGCGTTATTAAAGGAGAAAAACCAAATTTTGTGGAAATGGGTCCTTATGTATTTAGGTACAAATATTACATTAAGTTCTATAATTCATATTAATTACATTACAAATAATATTTTTTAATGACAGTGAAGTTGATACCAAAGTGCAAGAAACTTGGAATAAAAATGGTACTATAACATATCAAAGGAAGAGGGTATGGCGCTTTGAAGAATCTATGTCCAATGGTAGTTTATCTGATAATGTTACTAACATAAATGCTGTGACTGCTGTATGTATTTTGAATATGTAACTTTACATGTATAACAATAAATTTTCTTTATTTATTATTTTTTTCAGAGTGTTGTATACGCATTAAGATACAAGATGGAATTTTTCAAAGAAATGGCAGATAGAATAATGCGTATGGTAGATCAAAAATTGGTAGTCACCAAAACTGTAAATGAATTACTGTTTGAAGGTTACAACGATACAATGTTAAACATAGCTCGAAAATTGAATGTGACTGAAATTCCATTTACGAAATTTGGTTGGTTCGTTGATGTGAGTATATTTGCCAACATTATTAATGTAGGTAAAGATTTTAATTACACGTGTCTATGTAAAGTCATTCAATAACATTTTAATATCCACAGAGAAATGGTACTGCATCTTACGACGGAACATTTAACATGCTTACTGGTGAATCAGATTTACACAATTTAGGGATGTTAACGGAATGGAATTTTAAAAATAGAGTCAGTTATTATCCTGGAGAATGTGGAGTAGTAAAAGGAACGAATGGCGATCTGTGGCCACCGTTAACCGATAACGAAACTATCTCTTTCTTCGTATCCGATATTTGCACGTCAGTATAATGTTGCATTAAAAATACTGAAAATATTGTAAAGATATTTAGATTTAGATATCTAAGAATATCAGAATATTCTTCGAATAAGAGACATATAGATTTGTGGATATATTAGAAACTTAGAAATAAGAAAGAAGGAAAATTTTTTATGTTCTTTCAATTTTGTGAACAGGAGTCTGACAGCAAGGTATAATAACACGGTTGTTCATGAAGGATTGACTGGTGTTAGATACACAAGCGATGATACGTTACTGGATAATGGCAGTAAAGTACCATCTCGTCGATGTTACTGTGAAGGAGACTGTGTACCCTCTGGAGCATTAAATATTTCATTGTGTAAATGGGGTGCACCAGCATTCATTAGTTTACCCCATTTCTATTTGGCAGATCCAAGTTACAGAGAAAATATAACAGGAATGATTCCTGACAGAGAAAAACACGAACTTTCAATAGCTTTAGAACCGGTAATTATGAGTAAATAATAAATAATAATCCTCAAGCACATCATACTAAATAAATATTATTACTTTTCTAGAAAACGGGAGTCCCATTAAAAGTAAATGCACAGTTGCAATTGAATTTATTACTTCTGCATGACGATGTTATGAGGTAAGTTGTTTTTTACAAACTAAGTACATTTTTCACGTAATATATTTTTTATTTAAATTGACATAATATTTTCAGTATGTTCAAAAATGTTACAAATACTTTTGTTCCGATGCTATGGTTTACACAGGAAGCTCGTTTAACTTCCGACTATGCCAGCATAATTAAGTTCATTTTAATTTTAAGAACATTGGGCAGTGTGACTTTGATAGGTATTGCTGCTATTGGTGTTTTAATTATAAGCATCGGTGTTTTTTTGTTTATTCGGCACAGTTTAAGAGGTGAAGAGAATCAAACTTTATTATCAAATAATGCAAATAGCGAGAGTAGTATTATCAATGGTTGATTGATCGTACTTTTAACGAGGAAATGATTAAATTATAAGAAACAGAATTATGACCAATATGGTAGTTAGATGGAGAAAATAATTATTATCGTTAAAATTCAATGGTTGATAACATTTATGTATGTTTTCCACATCCTGTTGTATGTTGTTCTATTATAATTAGAACAACACATGATGGCACCAAGACTATTTTAAGTGGAAAATTTATTACTATAAGATTAGTTGTTCGAATTGATTATAAGTATGCTTTCAAAGTATTTTCATGATTTAAACAAGTGCCTCATTGCCTTAATGAAAATAAATAGATGTTGATAGCAATAAGAAAATACAATTTATAAATATTAAATACTTAAATATGATATATGTATGTATTACAACCTAACAAAAATACGTATTATTTTTAAACAATGGTAGAAAATTATTCTCAATCACTCTTGAAATATTTTTTTAGTAATGCGTATGATAATCTAGATATATGCACATGCCTGTGAAATTAAGGTTGAAAAGCTGATGAGTATTAGAATAACATTAATTAGATTAAATATGTGTTTGTGTCAATCATATAGTTAAAGTTTTAGTATTTACAACACTGTTAATGCTGTGATAACTAGAAACTTCTTCCATTGTAAATATAATAGGACCTATTAGAAATAAAAGGGTATTAATTTTATACGATACTATTGTTGAAAATAAAATACTTTTTTTTGAATTGCACTATTTTTACAGTGCATGTAAAATAAAATTAGTTTATCAAATTCAGCACAAACAATAAATTATATCCTTGAAGTGTAGATGTCGCCGCTATTTAGTTCTTACCTTAAACTTTTAGAAGTCACGATATAATTTTGCTAACTAAAACAATTATGTTGATATATATTTTTTTCTTTTTAGTAGGTAAATAATTGTTTATAGAATTCAAAATTAAAATAATCCAAAATATGAGTATCGTATGAACCTTATTTTTTAAAAATTTTCATTAGAGGAACTTTGCAATCCTTTTAAAAGTCAACCATTCCAATTATTCCCTGACCTATTTTTATGTTTAATTTTTCGAACATCGCATTGTAGATATCTTCAACCATTGTTTCTCTTGCCCATTTGAACAATCGACAAGGTACGAAATCAAAATATATATTTTTTCCGGGGTACGCATGAATCTACAAACCGGAACGTTGTATCGATCGGACATAAAGTGATTTCATTAGTGGTGTGTAAAAATAAAAGAATCCGTTTACCGTTCCCTCTGTTTTCAAGGAATCTGTTATTCTTTCGGGAAGCGTTAGGCAAAATATAGAAAGCTAAAGCAAAATAAGGGATTGTTGAAAGTAAAAACATCACCGAGTCGGTGAACATTTTAATGATCGATGCATTCTATCGCATATTAATTATAATTCGAGAATTGGTAATTTTACAATGTTTTAATTATAGAAACATTTAGTTCCCTTAATTGAAGGAATTACATTTTTTTTCTTTTAAATATTAAGTGAAAAAGGAAGGTAACATAACAAAAGTCATAGGTCGCATAAAATATATACATAACGGTCAATGTTAGAAAGACCATTTTCAATTTGTTGCACGTTCGTAATTCGTTGCATATTAATACAGGGTGGATGCATGTCGAGTAACAACAGGTTACTTTGATCTCATTAATCATAGCACGTATAACTTTTGCGTGTACTTCGTACGCGTGGAACGATCTAAATATTGTAGCAACTGTTATGGAGAAGCGACGATCGATCCTTTGCTTGCATTTATTTTATTCTCGAACGTATAATCATGACAGTAAGGCATTAGTTTCATACAAATAAAATTATTGGATAACTTCTACATTCTAGAAAACATGAATTTCTGTTATTTACAGAAGGAGGAAAAACATTTTCGTATTTTTTGTTTCCTTTGAAATCCAACGAAGTGATCGGTGGGCTTTTTTGAAATGCTTAAAATCAGAAATTTGGAATTTTTTAAATCTTGAAATTTGTAAATGTGAGCTTGTACCTAGTATATCCTAGTATAATCGGGGCAACAATTTATGGAGCCGTTTGAAAATCCTTGAACTTTACTCATCTTGGGGTAATGTTCTCGGTAATTCAACCTCTAGATAGGTATTTTCTACCGGAATTTAATACTCTCTGGAAATCTTTTATTTTCGAAGAACCTGGACTGCAAGCACGGTTGCGTCAGCGAACAGGAGCTGAACATAAAATCTTCTGTCGTAAAATCTCCAGGGTAGCATCGTCTTAACCCGTTTATGATCTAAGACAGTAGTCATTTATGATTTCGATTGGCTTTCGATCGAACTTCTGCTGTTCATCGTATTCTTTCAGAGACCGGTTTGGATTGAAATTGTCGTGCACGCTCGTAGATACAAGATTGAAATTTAATTCTAGCTTGCGGAATTTATCGACGAAAATAAACACGTTTTACCTCGTAAGTACCTCGAAAACAACATGTTTGTTTAACGAAACACGAATACGAACGCGGCAAACGTAGCCGTTTAAAATAACGCCAACTTTGCCTCGCTTAGCTGCGAGATAAACAACTCAACTATCAAGCGCACTTTTTTAATAAATCTTTCAGAAACTTTTCCTTTTTTCAACAATTTATCTCTGGATGATTTACGAGCGCCAACGGCTAGGAGTAGGTGTGACACAGAGTAATGCATTTGCTGCGAAGGATTGCTTGAGCTTATTTTATTTTATTCTTAAAATAGAGGAGGTTGCGTTAACGATATGGCAACGATACGGTTGTTTATAAATGGACCTCGAAGCTATTAGTTCATTTTTAATAACGGTAGCTAATTTCCAAACGATAAAGTTTACAGAAGAAAAATAAATAATTCTCACCATCTTCTACCATGGAATATAATTATGTTGACTATACACGAAAGCTTATACAACAAAAAACGGGTTAACGATGTTAAAATTGTTTAGAAGATTTATTGAAGGTAGAATTAATAAGCAAAGGGGATTTTATACGAGTTTAGGGCGGCGCTTAAAGTGTGAAAGGGTGTTTTAGGGAAAATCCGATTTGCATTTGAACGTGTGGTGAAACGTCGAGACGAAGTTGGCCGAGGTATCAGAGTGTATACCGCTGCACCTACGCGCTCGTTAAATCGACGTACATACCTCAGTTTCGCAGAGTCCGTCGTCGCGTTCGCATCCCTGTCCCGAATCGGGATCGTCGTCTCGCTTGGCTGTCGCGTCGTCGCGACGCACACCATCCGTCCAACACAGGACACGTTTGCCCGCGAAACAGTGTCTCATGCTTTCGTCGCTGTTACCAGTTCGTGATTCGAATTGTTCCTTTTTATATCCACTGCATCATGTACATTACCACCACAATATTTACCATCACATATACAGGATTTTCAATTAGTTAAAGTCACGATTTTTTAAACTGCTTTTCAATTTGGTTAACCATACGTTGCATCGCGCTACATATATGCTACACAGCAAAGATACATCTAGCAATTATTTTTATTTAACATAAAGGAACTGATATCGAAATTATGGGAAACAAATTTTTTTTTCTCCAATTACGATTTTTTATTTCAACTTGCAAATTTGTGGTGCTGCACAATTTTGCCCTGAATTAATTTTGTAATATAGGAAGCACTTGTTTATTGTTATTTTCTTGTTATCATTGTTGAGAGTTGAAAAATGTATTTTTTCCTAAATTGGAAAAATCGCGCAACGATAGGTTAACGTATCCATAAGTGTCGTGCGTGACATAGTGTAGAAAAAATAGAACAGGTTTTTTCGAAAATAACGTTACAAATGAACACGTTGATTGCAATCGGGGTCATTGGTGGTAATCAGTGTCTTGTAGGTATACAAAAAGTTAAAAGGTAGATAAAAATGCAAATTTATTGAAAATGTACCGTCAACCTAATAAGAACATGAGTTACGTAAAGTAGCAAACTAAAGGCTAAAATTTGAAAATTGACTGATTGTATCGATAATTAGCGTTACGATACATAAGCCTTGTAATGTATGGTATTTAGTTTTAGTTTAATTTTAGTAACTCAGATTGCAAGCGTATATTTATAACATTGTATTTTACAGAAGACAACATCTGGCGCGTAAAAGGTTAAAACACGTTCGCGATGAACTTTCTTTTAAAATTTCCTTTCTAGCTCAAAGCGATGGTAGACCCTGTCGGATACGAAGCGCAAGAAAAAAGTTCGCGAAGACAGCCGGGTTAAACTTTCCCGAGACACAGATTGAATTTATCGTCCCTTTGGCAGTTACCGCGACATTTGACGTGAAATCGACAGTTTTACAATATTTCTGCATAGAGGAGGGAATTGAAATGTCATAAAATACGGTTTTCGATGTCGCGTCGGGAATAACTCGAATATCTACCAATTTCTGGTAAACCCACAAATTCTGCGAACTTTCAAACGTCGTTTGCCCACAACTTTTCTATATATACATCAATTTTTATAGTCACTATCTCTCTTCTTATATTTTTAAATGGCAGCGCTGTACATTTTATTTAAGAAATCTATACCATGAACGTACGCGTTCGCATCGTATTCTTAACTTCCTACATTTCTAAATTCGTAGATGCAGCTTTGTAATAGAATTATAAAAAGGAAGAGTTTCTTTTGGACTTTTTACATTATCGTGTTATATTTCCTCGTCACTTTAATAAAACGTAGATAATGTAAACAAATTAAGATAATTATGCTATTCAAGTGCACGGCATTTTTAATACAGTGAACGACTTGTACTCGTCATTAGTATTCACTAGTCTATTCATGGATGATGACTGTCGTTGACATTAGCAGTGAAAGAGTTAATTCTTGCTATACTGTATTGTACTACATATGTCTGTTTTGACTATAGCAATCAACGTGTTAACTTTTAACTGATCGATATAAGGAGCTCGTTGCGTATCCAGTGACCGATCCTGAAACAAAGTCTAATACGATTTTGTAACATAAAAGTATCGCGAAATATGGTTTATGCTATACGAATTTAAAACTGAGAACTCGTTGAAATGACTGGTAACTAGCTGCATCAAAAATGACTAATTTCGAAAAATGCATATGAAGTTGCATAAAAATGATTAAGCTAAAAATTTGGAAGTTAATCACTCGTCGCGTGATCACCATACGATTGTTTGAAAAATCGTGACTACGATTGCGACGAACATCCGTCATTTATCAGAATTGAATAAATATTCGATTAACGTTCTGCGAGCACGGTGAGAGCATTTACGGTTAAAAAGGTTAAAAGCAGCAAAGATGAGAAGAAATCCTGAAACGCGTAATAAAACGTACGAAGAAATGGATGTGACGTTTTTTCTGATTAATTGGAACGCCAATTGTCACCGGCAGCAACTCGGAATCGGTGTAGAAAAACGCACAAGATTAATAGCATAATCGAGGCGTTTTCATTAAAACACTGTTCGCCCCGAGGGAGAGAAAGAGGAAAGGAAATCGAAGAGAATCTTCCATCGCATCGCGGAATATTCCTCGCGAAAGAATTCTGTTGCTTAGACGAGAAACAACACGGACGCGTTTTCCACGGAAATATTTACCAAGCAAATTTATTAACTTTGGCTACTTTTTCTAATGGAACGACGATACGATCAATTAATAGACACCGTGCAATCACATTACGACTTTACGCTGTAAACTCGGCCGTCGCTTGGTAACGGTACGGTAACTTTTCACCAAGTACAATTAAAATTTCAATCATATTATAAATCCCGAGCGATGCTCTATTAAGCTAAACTTCGTTGTTCCCTTTTCTCACTGGCTGACCGCGATACGGACCGTTCTCTTTATTTTCTTCGGTGTTAACAGGTTAGAACAACCTAGAAATTTCAAATCACCGAAGATTCTATTGTTCGCTTAAAACAGAAACGAACAGCTGCGCCCGCAAGGGCGAACGGGTAAGTAGCGTGCATTCGGGGCCATTGATGGACAGTCGATTCCTAAGTCTCGTTTTGAAATCCTCAGGATTAAAACATATCGTCGGAACTTTTATAAAAATGTTAAAACCTAGACCTTTTTGCATAACGTAATTAAAAGCATTCTCTTTCCGTGACAAAGTCTTCTTTTGGTTATACAGATATACGTGAAATTATTAACGATAATCATTTTCATTTTGAAATGATGACGTAGAGTAAATATTAGCATGTAAAGAAAGTTCTGCACAGAATGTATATTTTAATTGTCGTGGTGCAGAAACCGGGTCAATCGTGTCCAAGACCGTTAATTAAGAATTTAAGAAATTATTTTTCCAGAGTCCAATATCAGATGTCTTGAACAGAAATATAAAATTGTAGGAGCAATAACGAGAATGAATATGTAATTAAATTTAAGCTCCAGAACATACATTTGATCAGAATCAGTAATGCAGATACAATAAAAAGCTCCACTCGTATTAAGAACTGTTTAATTCGTGCAATTAGAAAGAAATTATTGCTTTCCGCTTTCTACCGCGCTTTAGCCTCTTAAAATCTCCGTTTCCTTTTTTTCTCCATTCGGATCGATCGATATGGAAAAAGTGTTGGCGGTTTCGCGTCCAAATGTGCAATAAATAGCAAAACGTCCGTGCAATTGCTCGTAACTGGTTGGTTATAGAGTTTGAAAATAAACGAGGCCGATTCGTCGTTCGTTTCTAATATTAACTTTCCCGATAAAATTCATTTCCTCGGTTTCTGACGATTTTATCGATCCCCTAATGAAATTTTCTTTATCCGCATGTTCGAGCCAAGGTCGAAAAGAAAATCGTTCGAAAAGAAGCCGGAGAAAAGGAGACAAATCTTTGATCGAAACGAGATAAAATTTATCTAGAAGGGAGTTACTCTCAGCTTTTACTTCCTCTCTCGAAGAACAGAAGAATAGGGGTAAAAAACTTGTGTCGATTCGACCGTATCGAATCGTCTACCGGCAAGCCACTCGGCAAAGATCAGGAAAAAAGTTGGGGGAGAAAGATCGCTGCCGAAATGTTACTAATCCTGTTAATAAAAAAGATGCGACACTTATCACAGGAAATTCGTGAAGTTTGCTGACACTTGGGAAATCACCCCCAGAAACTTTTCTTCCCTCGACTTGACGAACTGCTGTTCCATCGACAAAAACAGCAGAGGTTGAAAAAATTCATTATGAAATGCCTTCAAACAAGACTGGGATCGATCGCTTTCAGATGCTAATCGGATAAAATATGATCAACGACGACCGATGATCTCTGGACGCCCGTCGCGTTATCAAATCGCCCGGATGGCTAAGGGAATGGGAAAGGAAAATGGGGAGAATCAGCTTTAATGTCATGGAAATTGGTGCAGGATCGACCTGGATGCAACTTTCTCACTGAACATTTTCTCTGTTCTTCTTCGACCGTTCTATGTTCCGGGAAAGAAAAGAAATATTCAAAATGGAGGGACAAAGTTGTGCGAAAGTCCGTGGACAATAGAAGAAGATTCAGAGGATGGACAAAGTTGGAAAATCTTGAAAAAATTAATCTATCTCATAAAATATAATTGTTATCGTTAGTAGGTGTCTTAATTGTATCGGATAAGGTAGCTCGCAACATATGTGTATTTCTCCTTATCGATTAAGGAGAAGCGTAAACTGTCCTTATTTCTCGTTATTAATACTCGAAAGCTATACCTACGAATATCGGATAGAGTCAGTTACCCATTTTACTTATTATTACAAAAACTAATTTATTCTAAAACCCTGACATATTATCGGACGAAAATGTTAATGAACAAACTCTCCCCAAGATTTCTATATCCACTCCTAATGAAGAAGAAACTGACCAGTGAATTTTCTGCGAGGACAGGCAAATTTTGTGAATATCGATTATCGTGTAAGACTATTATTCGTGATACGTAAGGAAAGAAAAATGTATTCGATCGAGAAGACGTTAATCGTGTGGTCCACCATGGTGTCTATATTGGTGGACGCTACAGACTACCAGGACGATTACACATCCGTAGAATACATCGACGAGTCTGATATGGATTTCAACTCCACCAATTGTAGCAACATTTATTGCATTTCGAACGAGGAATACGTGGATCGTATGATGAATTACATATTCCCAAAATTGTGGGATTGGGTGCTGATAGCTTCTCACGGTATCATCTTTGTCGTTGGATTAGTTGGAAACGTGCTAGTCTGTACCGCGGTCTACAGAAATCACACAATGAGGACTGTGACGAATTACTTTATCGTCAATCTGGCTGTGGCTGATTTTCTGGTACTGTTGCTCTGTCTTCCTTTCACGGTGCTCTGGGATATCACCGAAACATGGTTCCTGGGACTGACTTTATGCAAAGCCGTGCCATATCTCCAGGTAAGACAAACATACTGTTTGATCAACAAGTTAAATTTCGTTAACCGGTTGTATTTGTTAAGAGTATACAAGTCACCATAGTCCATGCAGTAGAACAAATTATTCCGACCCTTGCAATGCGTGGTATTATGGAGCAAGAAAACGTGAAAAGTACCATTTTAATTATTCAAAGGATACATCTATGATTCGGAGCGGGGGCGTAAAGATCGATCGATCGTCAAACCTGCGAAAAGGGCAAGAGAATTCTCCACTTCTAAGTTTACAAATTTACAAAATTCTAAAGCAACATGCACACGATCCTTTTATATCATTTACTATCCTACGTTGCTAATTCCACCTTGTAAAACAAGCGTAACTGAAAAGAAAAACTGGGCCATAAAATGAATGGTCGAGCTTGGAGCTTAAAGTTGTTGAAAATTTATGTTTGTTCGCGACTGGAGACCCTTTTACAGTGTGGATAGGGAATCGGAAATTCGCGCACGTTCGTCGAACAAGTGGATAAACTGTCTGCGAGGGTATATTGTTATTTACGGTTTCTTTCTTGGATTTAGGTTTGAACACGTACTGTACAAAGCATCGTTCAATATTTGCTCGAAAAGTGTGTAACAAAAATTTTCTGCGCGACAAAAATTGTGGCTACGCACTATTTATCATAATTTCGAAACGACAATTTATGAACGAGAATGAGAATAATTTTATTAGATAATGTTGGTTTTGAAAAGATAAAACCTTAAAAAAGCTCGTAACAAAAGATAAAAAACTTTTCAAGTTTTATAATATAGTGTCGCAGAATCGAGTGAAAATATTCGTTAAATTATCTTGTCTATGTTAGAATCAAATATTCATTTGTTGCACATTTGTAACAGTGATAACGATGCAACTCATGGAATTTGTGCCAACGGAAGATTAGAACAGTGGAATGTTGAAATACAACCCGATAGTCCCTTAATTGCACAATTGTCCGAGCAGTAAATTCATCGTAGGGAAATGTACGATCTTCGCTTGGGAATTCACCGTATTTCATATTCTTCGTGCTTATTTGAGCAGCTGAACTCCGCCAGTTTGGTTTAAAGTTCACCTTGGCTTTTGAAGCTGAAATTCGTTGTACGTCGAAGACTTTCTCCGCACAGAAAACGGAGGGCAGACGGTAATTTATAATTCAAGAAGTCAGACGCGTTATACTTAATTTGGTGGTTTGACCTTTCCCGTTCTTGCCCTATATATTATTCTTTTATGTGATTCTAAACAGCGGCGAACACCCACGCGTTAATTTACGGCTAATTAAACTATTATATTACATTGAAAACCTCAATCACTGGTGTAAAGTAATTTTGATAAAATTGCAGAATTGGTTTACATAAATTTGTCGAATATATCGAGTGATTTTCAAATGACAAAGTTACCTCACCGACATAAATGTCTTTGTTCAAGTTTCGATTAAATCGATTACATTACCCTTTCGGGTGGCTAATAACGGACGGTACTGAAAAACCAATATCGCTATTTGCCATTAAATTTTCTGTGAGCCGTAAATCAAATTATCGATGTCTGTATTGAAATTTTGCAATTGATATTTTATCGTGCGCGATCGGATATAGATTCTCAAACCAATCCCAGCGATATTATATTGGAAAGACCCTGTACGTTTTCATTATCGTCTTTTCATTATACAAATATCGTCGCTTTCGACCTCTCTGAATTTCTTCTCGACTAAAAGACAATTGTGTCTGTTACTCTTTTTATAATATGGCTATATTACGATTTATACCGCTTAAAATGTGACGTATTTTCACCGCTTTCGAACAGCACAGTTTTAGTTCGTCGATTGCGCAACAGATGGCTCGATGGCAGTGACGATTCTCGTTGATGTTACTGTGCGTGCAATGTGATATAAAGGCTGAGAGAGGTCCGAAATATTTAAAAAGGGTGCTCGCTACTTTAATAGCGCGTCAGTACGGTGTAAATGCCGTGCTGGCGGGGTATGGCCATCAAGACATACCCAGTACGTAATTTTTGTAACCGCGAGGCTGTTGGCTGCCAATTTAGCACCGACGCCTCCAGCTAGTTTTTAATAAGTAAGTAAATTCAAATATTTTAGTTGTAATAACAAATCTTAATCTAATCTTTGATCATTAACATTTTATGATATGATATTGAGAGAATTATTCGGATATGCTGCTGTGTTTTAATAATTGGTACAAGTATAAGTAAATTATGAATTATCTCGATCAATTAAATAAATGAAAATTATACGAAGGACATAAATTTGTTAAACCGTGCAAAAATGTAAATGCACATAAGTTCATCAACGAACGCGCACCCATCCATTATGAAAGGTTTCAAATAATAAATACATTGTTCTAAAATACGGAGAACCAAAAATTTCCATATTAATGGATGCTGTCCAGAGTAAACCGCGGGTGGAAAGTAAAAATTCATTAAGCGCTCGGAATGACCATCCCTCTCGTTATATAATGCAATTTTCGGTGAGGAACGAGTGTCACTCGGGTCAAGCTATTTTTTTGCGCTTGATCCATGATATCGTCTGAACCCGACGTCCAGGTGAGCTATATTTTAGGTACGTGCTTTCCGTTGCGCGATCGTAAAAAACTGATACAAATATCTGCAAAGAAATTTATACTGCTACCACATCGTGTATCGCTCAGTGGGTGGCATATACATACACGTGCAACCTTTGTAAATGGCAGACCATCGTGTCTGCTTTTACTCTTTTATGGAGGTAAATACTTTCTCCTTTAAATTCGGGGATGACATTTATTGTCGCCGTTTTGGTCTCGTTTATCACTTTTGTAGGCAATTCGAATGCTCACTGAAACTATATTTCTTGCATCAATTTTTATTTTGGAAGCACAAATCGATATAAAAAGAAAGTCCATGAAGTGAAAATCGCTAAAGAAAATGGGAAACTAAGTGGCTTAAATAGTAAGCTCGACACCATAGGTGTCACAAGTAAACGAAGGATGCGGCACGGTTTTTCTCAACAGGGGTAGTTCAAGAGTACAATTTTCTTCGCGGGGGGTTATCGTTCGATGTCAAGCATCAAAGCGAAATACATAAATTTTGCAAAGGCAGTGACCTCCTTCGATGAAACAAATAAACTCTGGAATTAGCATTATTTTCCATTTGACCGATCGAAATACGTACACTCATTGCCGGTATGACGAAGGATGAATTTTAAAAAGACCTCGTCGGTCTAATAAAAATCTAATCACGAACTCGCTTTATTACATTCGTGATTACGGTTGTAAAAATTCAGCTGAAATTTTCTTCGCGATTCGTCAACTTCCGCAAATGCATTGAAATTCCAGTTATCCCCCGAGTATAAGTTTAAGAATTCATTCGCCGTTCATGGAAAGTATGTCGTCCATAATCTGCACTCGGCCATCATTTCTCCATGTTTCGTGTCGTTGGCAAGGATTCAAATGTCTCGTAAGACGAGTTGGAAAACTTTGTGATAATTACTATAGCGACTGATAATATCATTCGTTACGGCACGTAAGGCCATTAATCTGGAAACAGACGCTCGGTTTTACGGTTTGCACGAACCGTATAATCTCCAGTTTTTGTTTCCGTGATGCGAACGCGTACGACAATATTTCTGACAAGGGGAGAAGCATTTTTCCATGAAATCGTCGTGGAATCTCAAGCATTCGGAAGGAAGTAGGACGAGGCTCGTTACTTACGTGCCGCCTCCGCGGATGAAGTCGTTTCTTTTCGGAGATCGTTAAACGAATAAACGGCAGCTTCCGTTGCATGTTTAATCAGAGATCGTTCTTTAGTGTTCAGTGCAAAGTATCTGTGATTTCACCGCTTCTATGTAATATGCAAAAACTTTAACGATCCGTAAGCAATATGCATCGTTGATGGCGCAAACGGAGTTTTACTTCCTTTTTTAGAACAATTACTCCTACAGAATAACGTGTTTCTTTCGAGATAAAGTCGAGAAAACAAACAACATTAACAAATAAAAGAAGAAACCGTGTGCCGTAAACTAACGTTTGTGTGGTGGATCTATAGACGCGTATGACACGATGCAAGAAACTGGGGCAGTGTTTGTATCGCATGATAAAAAAGGATCATAAAATATAGTATATAGTGTATCCATACTTGTATAACCTATGTGACTTATACATATAACATAAAATGTATCCTCCATGTTATATAGGGGTTTATTATACTCGTATATCAGCGTTCCTCGGACTTTAGAAATCTCAATATCTCAGGATATGTTGTTGATTGTTACAACTTTGGAAACTGACCACAAAAATCATTGCTCGTTGTTCACGCACTTGCTATTTATCTTCGCGACGGGAACCTTTATCTTGTTACTAATTAGAACGATCAGAGAGGTGCGATTATACGAACGATTAATTGCACCGTTCCCGTTACAAGCAGATGTCTTTGCCATCGGACACGATGGTGGTGGATAATTAAAAGGGATTTCCGAGAAATCCTCTACCTAATGGTATTACCAGCTCTAAGGTTTTCTAGGATATGTCGTGATTTAACTCTACCATTTGACGCAAGTAATAAAGTCAAAGTGGAGCTGAACGGTGTTCATTTGGTTGCATGATTCGGAGAGAAATATTAACATTGAAAGTTCCTTAAGAAAATTGAATTCACTTTCTGAAATTATGCGACGGCATAAACAGCATGACGACGAAAGTTCATTCAAGGATTATACCTTACAGGTTTTCAGGATACACAGAGTGTACTTCGGTCCACTATCGTAACTTTCTTATTTGTAAAAGAGCAGTTTTATATAAATAAAACATATTTTGATATAATCTTATATAGGTCGATCTTCGCAAATAAGAAGATAGTTCAGATGAATTGGACACCCTGTATATATGTCGCGTTCTTCTCACTCTCTTTGCTTTCTACCGTACTTCCGGCAAAAGTATACTCGGGTACACGTCGCCCATTTGCGTTTCCCGACACGGACGTTACTTTTTTCCTCCATCTCTACAATGTTCACC